CAAAAACATCGAAAATGGGACATCGACCCCCCCCCCCTTGGTGTACCGGGGGGGCCCCAGTACACCGAGGGAGGAGGAGGAGGAGGAGGAGGTGGAGGGAGCATTTAGGGATTTTGAAGAGGAAGAGGAGGAGGAGGAGGAGTGGAAACCCAAGACTCATCAACGATGTTGGAATAAACCTTGCCTGCGCGCTCCCTCTGCATAGCCCCCTACTCATGTCCACTGAAGGAATTGCCCCGCTGAGAGATAACCGTTTGAAGATCCGGTGTCCCATTTTGGTGGTTTTGGGGGGGTCAGGGCCCGGGGCACCGACCCCCTCACGGGGGCGGGGCGGACGACAGAGAACGGCCGGTCTTCGGGTCCCTGCCCTCCCAGAGCCGGTTGAGTCTGCCCTGCGTAGTGCGCGGGTCAGCGGGCTTGCAAGATTTACGAGTTAAACTTTGCCACTGGACCTTCGCATAGCAGGCGCATCGTTTGCAGAAAACTATCCCTGGCCTCTGCGCGAGTTTGTGGCCCTTGCTGCGAGCTAGTGCCAAACGGTCTGCTAGCACTCCGCTGGGAGTGTCTTGCCTGTCGCCCTCCCCCTGAGCCGTGTTAGGAACAGGAGAGGGAGGAGGACCACTACCACCACCACCACTCCCAGCAGTGCCCGAGGGGGGAGGCGGCTCAGGAGGGGGCCCTTCTCGAAGTCTACTACGTCTGACGATTTGACTCCGACTGATGCAGCAAACTCTAGGATCCCCTTAACTTTGCTATAGAGGGTGATATATTGCTGGCGCTGCCAGTCTGAGTGCTGGAGCATGCGCGCCCCTGCTTTGGCTCCCAGATCCGCGATGCTGTTGCCCAAGAAATCCCTAACGCCCATCAGGGCGCGCTCTGCTCGGGTAGCATGAGCTTTGACTGTCGAGAAGCTTATCGGGCCGAGTCCGCCGTGTTCTTCGACGAGGTGCCACAGTCGATGCCACGTGCGAGCATGGGGACTGGTGGGCCTGGTGCACCAACCCCGCCCACGTTGAATTCCCGATATCACGTTTGCACAATCCGTGTGGATGCGCACTGGCGCCACTGCATTCGTGAAGTTCAGCGGCGAATATATTTTGATCTTCGTGGGGGAGCGGCAGCGGGCCGTAGGCCTTGAAACTTACCCGGCCTATCCCGTCCACGGTAGCGAAACACCAGCCTGCCCTACGGATGGCTTTCTATTGTCCGTCCAGGAGGGAGCCGTCGGTGTAAACATCCCCCGAAACGAAACCATCGTCTTGACCTTCTCGGACGATGTCGTGGGACACTCCCAGCGGCCTGAGGCGCAGAGCAGGATCCTGAACCAGTCCCCGACCCCAGAGGGCCTCGAGGTCCGGGGAGAGGGGAGGAGGAGCGGCTCCGCGGTGCTGGAGCTCCCGATGATCCTGCCCGCGCGCCTCGGCTCTTGCTGGGCAACGAAACGTGCGGTGTCTGTCTGTGCCGTCCTCTCGTCCGCAAGCTGCACATAGCGGTGAGGCGGCTAGCCCTTTCTTGAAAAGGCGCGCTTGGGGCCACATGGCCCCCGTGTAGAGCGCCCTGGCTCGAGTCCTATGAGCCGCGGTCAATTTTTTGCTTAGCGGGCGTTGTGCCAGCGAAGCGACCGGTTCAATGAACACCCTTCCCGCAATCCCCAGCTCCGACCCCCACCGCCCAATCCACAGCTGCTGCAGTTGTGCAGCACAAGCTGTTTGGACTAGCTTGTAGAGCGCCCATGCGCTCTCGGAGCGAAGGTCATACGTGAAGCTGTCTACATTGATGGACCACGGCTGCTGAGACTGCCATCCCAGACGGCGGACGGTTCCCAGGAAGGCCCCAGCTGGGCCTTTCACGAGCGCCCAGGGTTTTGAGGCGCATGGACCATCTCTTCCACGCTGTGACAAGCCGTTTCTGGAGCGTAGCATCGTTGGCAGCATCGTGCCACGCCAACGACCACTGTACAATGGGGCCCGCGTTCGCACGAACGGCGGGGTCTGCGCCCTCCAAGAGGAGGGTGAGGGGCGTGGACCTGCCCGCTCTGCAGCCAGGGTAGGCCATGGCTGCAGCTTGCCTCAGATCTTGGATGACGGTGTCCGAGGCGCCGACCACCGTGGTCCCGTAGAGCGTCGTCGGGACATTGGCGGCTGTGACGATCTTCTGTACTCCCTGCTGCCCACCGGCGCGTCGTAGCCGCTTGAGCTTCTGGCCGCGCTTCTGGGAGGTCTTGATCCGCTTGCTTTGGGCCCCCACTCGCCGGCGGCGGCCCGCGGCTGTGGATGCACCGAGGTGCGCTGCATGGCGAACGTGGCGGATGCCCAAGCTTTTCGTTCGGTCGAGCAGCTGGTCCTCGAGTTCTTTCGCGGAGGAGAGCGCGACTGTCTTGCCCTTCGCGCCCCGCGAAACTGGAAGCTGGAGGATGTTCTCGAACCTATAGATAATGAAATCGACGGCGTTGGCATGCTCCCTGGCGACCTCTGTCGCGGCCCGCATGGTTGGCGACGGCGAGGTCGTCGTAGTGCGCGCGCAGGTCGATGCTGGGGAAGACGGCGCGGACGAGGTCGAGCTCTCCCATTAGGGCCATCTTGAGCCCCACGGGCGCGTAGACCGATGCTGCCACTAGCCCCCGCGCCCACTCCCTGCCGCCTGCCACTGCCCCGTCGAGGACGACTCTCCGCATCATGGAGTTTACGCGGAGAGTGACCCGGAGGAGGCGTGTCGGGCACCCCCAGTGGAGGCCCGCCTTCCATACCAGGTGGTGCTTGACGTATTCGAAGCACTTGATCAAATCGATCAGGGTGATGGCGAAGGCTTCTCCTGCTGCCTCCGCCGCTTCCCCGTGTAGTGCTTGCTTGCATCGCGCGGCGCGCTCTGAGGAGCGCCCGCGCGTGGCCCAGTCGTAAGAGCGCTGGTGATTCTGTTCCCATTTCCATATCTCCGGCCGCCTTATCTTTTCCCAGAGGCGAACGAGCTCTGGGAGGAGTCCAAGACATCGGAGGCCTCCTGCTGGCTTGGGTTTCACGAAGAATAGGAGTTCGTTCTGAGAGGAGGGCCATGGGGCGCCTTTCTCGATGGCTGCGAGGACTGCAGCCACGCGCGCGAGCCCCTCAGCACCGCCTGTGATCCACAGGCGCGGGTGCCAGCCCGCGACCCCGAGCCCCGTCCGCTGCTTGAACTGCCTGCTGGCCTGCGCGACCATCTCGACGGTGATGGGGTCTAGCTCGGGCTCGTCAGGGCTGGGCGGCTGCAGCCACGGGGCGTCGTGGTCGCACTCCTCCTTCCAAACCTTCTCCCACGTGGCGAGGACCCCCTCGGCCGCGACCTGTGGGTGCACAGCGATCTGGAGGTCTGCCGCTCCTGCGTCTGATGGCGCCAATGGCTGCCACTGGGTATCTGGCTTGGTCCACTTGTGCAGCGGGCCCGCTCCCCCGTCCGAGTGTTCCTGTACCCGCTCACGCCAGGCCTCGTTCGTCCGCTTCAGGGCTTGTTTCCTGAGGTCGTCGGCGATGCGCTTGGCCTGGCTTGCCCAGTATCCGATGTACTCCCTGCTGGCGGCCAGGCTGGCGACCGCTTGGCCGTCGCGAAGCAGGGTGGCCTTGACTGCGGCCCACGGGCAATCTCCCGGCAGCGCCGCGAAATCCAAATGGATGAGCTTGGCGTAGCTCGTCTGGACGAGCTGCAGCGCCTCCGCCGTGCCGCACTTGATAGACTCGGCCGCCGCCTCGTTGAGGTGCTGGAGCCGGAAGTGCGCCCATTCAGCTGCCAGCGTAGCCTCGTCAGGCGCGCCCCTTCGGCAGGGGCGAGGTGGTCTGAGGGAGACCCACTTGGCGCCGTAGCGGACGAAATGCCCAGTACGGCTGCTGAAGTCTTTGCCATCGAAGGTGAAGTACCTGTTGAGGTTCTTCTCGTAGGTGTCTGCGAGCGTCTCCCAGCACTGGTCAATGCTGTGCCTGGCCTGGGATGGCCTCGCGCCCAGTGCTTCGCTCTCGCTCAGCACAGGTGGCCAGTCGAGCGGCTCGCGGCAGCACCCGATTGGTATCTCCAGCGGCCAACGCCTAGGCCTGTCCATTACTTGGATTAGCCTGTCCGGCGAGCGCCTGCCCAGCTGCGTCTGGACTGGCGAATGCGGCGAGCAGCGGGCCTCGACCGCCATGGCGGTGAGGACGTGCGCCCGCGTTCCCTTGCCCAGCAGCGCGTGGGAGACGATGAAATAGTCCCTGACGCTCTCGGGCTTGTCTGGCACCTTGCACGTGCCACGGTCGCTGTCGTAGACGATCTGGCCTCCCATGCGCGCGAGGATGCCCGTCTTGGCGATGGTATGCGGGTCCATGTTGAAGTCCCCCGCAAGCAGCCACGGAAGTTTTGTGACCTCCACGATCGCCGCAAACCTCCCCAGGATGTTGAGATTTCTCCTGGTAGGTCCTTCGCTGCACCAGAGGTAGCAAGATGCCACTGCCATGCCGCCTGCAGCGCCCGTGTCGACCCAGGCGACTGCGAGTCTGCCCGGGGAGTCCTTGGGGGAGGCGTCCCACGAGCTGTCGAGGAGGCCGCCGCCCAGATAGTCCACCCCAATGTGTTTCGGGACAAGGATGGCGACCCCGCATGGTCTCCCCCCTTTCCCGTAGCGGGGCTGGCGACCACGGCGGTCTTCCAGCCCTGGGTGTGCTTGTGCTTGCTCCACTCGTCGATTTTGTCCGATGTGAGCTGCAGCTCCTGCGCGCAGATAACTGCTCTAGCGTCGTGTTGCCTGCAGCGCTCCAACACTCTATCCAATGACCTCCACGTGTTGGCATTGGCTGTTGCGAAGCACTGCAATCACCGTGATCCCGTCCAGGATGCGTTAGGAAGAAGACGGTTGCCTCTTGAAGTCAAGGGTGTAGCCGTCTTGCATGTTACCCATTACAGGAGCAAGCTGAGCAGCGTGGGTCTTGGCCTCTGCTTCGGGAACCCCGATGCCCATGAGCTGGGTCTCGATGGCTTCAGCGCTGGCTTTGGCGGGGAGGACGGCGATTGTCTCGGCCTCCGCGTCTTTGCGCCGTTTGCCGCGCTCGATGGACATGGACCTTGCCCTGTCTTTGCTCTCCTGTTGCTTCTTCTCGGCGTGGGCGAGCGCTTTGACGACCTGCTCCGTGTGCGGGTCGGCCTCGGCGCCCTCGGTGACCTTTTTGAGCGTGTCGACCGCGGCCTTGAGGTGCTGCGCGGCGGTGGCCCAAATCTCGCCGGCGCCTGCCGCGGGCTGGCGTGCCTCGGCCAACTGCTTGGCCTTGGCCTCGAGCTCGGAGATCTTCTTTTTGGCGGTCTCCAGCTTGTTGTTTTCGGATTCCACGGTCTTGGTGAGCTCCTCCTGTTGCTTGGTGAGCTCCTGGAGCCGCTTCTCGATCTTGGTGTGTTTCTGCCGTAGGCCACGGAGCTGCCTGTTGACCTGCACCTCCGTGTAGTAGACTGGTACTGAGTTTTCTTTTTGCGCCTGCAGCTGCTCGACCTCCTGCTGCATCCGATCAGCTGCTTGCTTGAGGAAGTCCATGCCTGGCTCCTCACTCTGCGCGCGCAGGTCGCGCAGGCGGCCTCGCAGTGTTGCGAGCCGCTCCTGGGCCGACTCCTTGTCCTTGTCGGCGGTGTCGGCGTCGTCGTCCGATGGAGGGCGGCGATCCCCTTTGCCTCCTCCTCGGCCGCGGCCTTTGCCACCTTTGGGCTTTTTGCTCCCGCAGGCGTAGCATGTCGGTCGCGTACTCCAGCAGTCGGTGGCCCTGCACTGTTTGCAGCTCCATGTGTGCGAGTCCCAGCTGCCGCCATTGCGCATGATTCGGTGGAGCGGTGCCGCTCCCAACTTTGCTCCACCAAGGCCGGGGCCCCTATCGGCGCCCAAGGGGTCCTCAGCCAGGAACGGCTGAGGAGGAGGAGGAGGAGGAGGAGGAGGAGGAGGAGGAGGAGGGGGAGGAGGGGGGAGGAGAAAGAGGAGGGAGCAGGAGGAGGAGCTGGAGGAGGAGGGGGGAGGAGGACGAAGAGAGAGGAGGGAGGCGGAGGCGGAGGCGAGGAGGAGGAGGGGAGGAGGAGGAGAGAGGAGGAGGGAGGAGGAGGGGAGGAGAGGAGAAGGAGGAGGAGGAGAGGAGAGGGGCGAGAGGAGGAGGAGGAGGAGGAGGGGAGGAGGAGGAGGAGGAGGAGGAGGAGGAGGACGCGAGCAGGAAAAGGACGCGAGGAGGAGGACGCGAGGAGGAGGAGGAGGAGGAGGAGGCGGAGGAGGGCCAGTGGAAACCCAAAAGCCACCAACGATGTTGGAATAACCCTCCCTCCTAGCTCCCTCTTCACAGGCCCCATACAGTGGTTCATTTCCATTGAGGGAACTGCCTCGTTGGAAGGCAACAGTTTGAAGATCCTGAAGCGTGCCGAAACATTTTTTTTGGATTTCAACGCCACGTATCAACCTGCCTGCCGCGTCCTGACGATCTTGAGCCGTTCCAAAACGCCATTTTTTGGGACTTCAGCTACGCGGGTTAACATCACTGTTGCGCCCGCATAACCCAAAATCCTTCTAAAACACCGTTTCTGGAACGCTGATCATGGGAATCCGTAAAACTCTTGCAAACTTATGAAATTACTGTGCGCGGCGGTAAGGCGAGAGCCACATTTTGACAAAAAGGAACCGCCCTCAATCCATTAAGCTCTTGCAGATTTTCAAAAGGATGTGCGCGGCGCGAATGCGAGGGCCACATTTTGAAAAGGAGCCGCCGTCAACCCGTGAAACTCTTGCAATGTTTTAAAACGAATGTGCGCGGCGCTAAGGTGATAGCCACATTTTGAACAAAAAACAACGCCCTCAATCCGCCAAGCTCTTGCAATTCTTTAGAACGAATGTGCGCGGCGCTAAGGCGAGAGCCACATTTTGAAAAAGAACCCGCCCTCAATCCGTAAAGTTCCTTGTAAATTTCTTGAAACGAATGTGCGCGGCGCTAAGGCGAGAGCCACATTTTGAACACCACCCGCCCTCAATCTGTGAAGCTCTTGCATGTTCTTTAGAACGAATGTGCGCGGCGCTAAGGCGAGAGCCACATTTTGAAAAAGAACCCGCCCTCAATCCGTAAAGTTCCTTGTAAATTTCTTGAAACGAATGTGCGCGGCGCTAAGGCGAGAGCCACATTTTGAACACCACCCGCCCTCAATCTGTGAAGCTCTTGCATGTTCTTTAGAACGAATGTGCGCGGCGCTCAGGCGAGAGCCACATTTTGAAAACCACCCGCCCTCAATCCGCGAAGCTCTTGCACATTGTTGAAGCAATGTGCGCGGCGCTTAGGCGAGAACCACATTTTTGAAACCACCCGCCCTCCATCCGTGAAGCTCATGTAATGTTCTAAAACGAATGTGCGCGGCGCTCAGGCGAGAGCCACATTTTGAAAACGACCCGCCCTCAATCCGTGAAGCTCTTGCATTTTTAGAACGAATGTCTGCGGCGCTAAGGCGAGAGCCACATTTTGAAAACCTCCCGCCCTCAATCCGCGAAGTCCTTGCAAATGTTCGAAAACGAATGTGCGCGGCGCTAAGGCGAGAGCCACATTTTTAAACCACCCGCCCTCTACCTGTGAAGCTGATGCCATTTTTTGAGCTTCAGAGTCATACATGGTGAGGAATTCTCAGACGAAACGCCTGGCCCGCCCTAAAAACTGGCCTCGGGGTGCGACAGGGAGGAGTTATCTATGAGGAGAAAGAATGAAGGAGGAGGAGGAGGGGAAGGAGGAGGAGGAGGAGGAGGAGGAGGAGGAGGAGGAGGAGGAGGAGGAGGAGGAGGGGGAGGAGGGGGAGGAGGAGGAGGAGCAGGAGGAGGAGGAGGAGGAGGAGGATGATGAGGAGAATAAGGATAATAATAATGATAAGGATGAGGATGAGGAGAAGGACCGTTGGGGGTCTCTGTCGCCACCTGCTTGAAACAAGAGCTGGACCCCTGGGTAGTATTTGGATGCGGGCCCTGGTCCATATGGCTCTTGGGCTTCCTTGAGCGCACCCCTCCCCCTCTGTGGGGGGTGGGGACGCTCCTCTGGCAGGGTATCCCGCTTTGGTGGTGGGAGAACTTGCCTCGCGGTCGGAGGTGGCCGGAGGATCGGAGGAGGAAGTGGAGCTGTCAAGAAATCCGCTCAGAGGTCCCAAAGTTTGTGCTTGTGCTGATCTTTATTCGCCAGGAGTGGCCACGGACACCCCCCTCTCGCCACCAGAGGTCCCGACCGCGCCTCCGCGCAGGCGCAGCGGAGGTCAGGCGTCTGTAACCGAGGTGGGGAGGGCGAGGGACCCCGACCTCCAACGTATCGAGCAGATCAAGACGGAGGCTTTTGGCTGCATTCGGCTTCGGGGGGCCCTCCCTAGGCGGGTCCCAGGACCGTCAAAAGCGTCTGGGGTGAAAAGCCGGCCCTGGGGAAAGGGTCGGGACTTCAGGGATCCAGTATTGAAAAACCGATGCCGTTCAATGTGTCGGACTTCTGGGGAGGCACCGTGCATCATCGTCAGAATCGTCCCAACCCCGACCAGGACTGGGTGGAGTAACTCTCCCGGCGTATCCCCCGAGACGTGGAGGCGACGGCACCCAGCCCCAGCTAGCGCTGCCAGGGTTTCCACGGAGTGGTTGGGGTTGGTTCTGCTTGCCCAGACTTGCCTTAACCATCATCGCCCGATCTCCCCGTCGTCAGTCCTCCTCCGCCCGTGGCCCCTGCCCCTAAAGGGGGCCGAACGTGGCCCGTGTTGCCAGTGACCTACGCCCTCACCCGAAGGGCCGGCCCAGAGTGGTTCCATTTCCAGGCCTGGCTTACCCTGGGATCTGATGTTGCGAGGAAATGGCAGCATCGCGGAAAAAAGCCCGTCTTTCTGCGGCACTTTTCGAACCACATCGATCTGTGAGGGTCCTGGGGCCCGAAGCCTGGCGAAAACGCCTGGCACCAAGAAAAACGAGACGCCCGGATCCCAGAGCACTTGCAGCACCGCCCCGGTCCGGCTTTGGATTCTCGTTGCCGCACAACGTCTTGCCGTCCTAACGTCTCAACGGCGCCCGAGATCCCTCGCAGAGTTGCCGCGCCCCCCACGCGCCCCCGCGCCCGGCCTCGGCCGCACGGGGTGCGTACCGACTAGCCGCAGGCACCGATCCCTGCCCAGGACCAGTCCTCAGGCGGGCCCAGCTAGGATGGGGATGAGTCGCTGCAGGGCGGTCTGGAGCGCTCTCAGAGCGTTCGGGAACGCTCTGGCCGCAGTACTTGCTCTGGCCGCGGTGCGTAGTTTCACGCTCTGGCCGTGGTGCGTTTGTCGCATTCCATTGTCGCTCCACTGTGTGCTGTAGTTGTTTCGCTGTCACCTGCAGCGGATGGGCGCTTCGGCTCCACCCTGCGGCGCCCACGCATGAAGCAGGCCGATGTCCGATGTTCGATGTCTGGCCGCGGTGCCCGATACATTAGGGACGCGCATCAAGAAACCGACTGCATTTTGTCAGGGTAATTCGGGTACGCTGGGTTTCTTCGCTCCGCGGTGCTGCTACGTTCAGGGTGCCTTGGGCTCCCACCATTTGCACCTCGCTCGCTGGTGGGCTTTCAGGGCTGGATCTCTTGCCAGGGTTTCTCGCGGCCGCCCCCGCAGTGTACTTGCTCCAGGTCCGCCATCTCTCAGAAGTTCCAAGGGCGCCTTCGAGGGTGCGAAGCTATTCGCGCTTTGCGCTTCGCGGTTCGGTCCCGATTCCTCCTCATCCTCCTCTTCTCCCTTGGGGGGCGGCGCGAGAACGCGAAGTTAGGCGCCCTGGGAAATTCTCGATGTATCCCGGTCCGAGACCATCCGCATCCAGACCAGGCCGGTCCTGGGCCCAGGGCTCGGACTGGGGAGGCCAGGAGAGCGCTGCCCCAGTGGCGAGAGGGCCCTATAGGCCCTCTCGAGTGTTGAGGAAGTCACGACGGGAGGTTTTCACGGACAGCTCGCAGAGAGCTTCGCCAGAGTGTTTCGCCAGGCCTTTCCACGCCCTTCTGGCGCCCTGCTATCTGGGTTTTGGACTACACAAGTTCGGCCACTTCGGCCTTCAGGGGCCCTGACCAGCCCCAGGACTGTCAAAGAACGGCTCGGGACGGGAGACCGCCCCTGGAGAAGTGGCCTGCACTTCCAGGGATCCCGTATTGAGAAAGCAGCACATCTGCCCTGGGGTGCCAGGCGATCGGGTCGGACGAAAGGGGGGGATATGGAGAGTGGGGTGGCGGCCTACAAAAATCTGCTGCGCGCAGCTGGTTTCGGCCCCGCCGCTGGGCACTCTCCTTGACACATTGGCGCCTCCGGCGCACGGAGGCGGCTGGAAAGCCTGCTGCGCGTGAGCTGATTGGCTGACCCCCTTTGCCATCCCCCCTTTCGTCCGACGAGAGACGGGGAGGACGCTTTCACGACTCAGGAGCGGCCTCTGCAGTCGTGACAGCTTGCCGCCTGCACCTGCCTGCTTTGCAAACCTGCGCTTCGCCACGTTGGTCCCCTCCGCCTCCTCCTCCTCCTCCTCCTCCTCCTCCTCCCTCCTCCTCCTCCTCCTCCCTCCTCCCTCCTCCCTCCTCGTACTCCTTCCCTCGCTCCCTCCCTTCTCATCCTCATCCTCCCTCCCTCCTTCCCTCCTCCCTCGCTCCCTCCCTCTCTCACTCCCTCCCTTCCTCCCTCCCTCTTGTCCTCCTCCCTCCTTCCTCCTCCCTCATCCGTCGCAGACCGTGCTGTCTGGCGAGGGGGGGGGCGAGGGGGGACGAGGCCTCGTCTTCGGGGGCCTGGCGCGAGAGGCGCGCAGCTGGGCAGGCGGCGCGTGCTCCTGCTGGAGAGCTCGGCCTTCCGAGGGCACAGGCCGTGCACTGGAGTGCACCGATCCTGGCCAGGCCGCTCGTGGGCCCAGGGCTGTGCTGTGCAGCCTGGGCGTGGAGCCGAAGGCCGCTGGAGTGGCCCTGCTTTTCCGGCGAGCCTCTGCCAGGGCGGGCCTGGCCAGGAGCGGTGCCGCTGCGCAGTTGTATTTGGCGCCCTCCCCTGGCTTGGGCGCGTGCGTCGACGCTGCGCGCCTGAATGCGTCGATCCTGGCCGGGCCGATCCCTGGGAACGCACACACATTTTGGGGGTTCGCGCGGGTTTCTCGGATCGGCGCTGGAGCCCCCTGGCGCCAGGGAGGGGGTCCAGCGCCGATTCAAGAGATCTGCGCGGACCTCCAAAAGTTTCTGTTGATGCCATTTGTGGTCCGTGAATCCTGGGCCCAAGGTTGGTGCAGTACCGCCAGGACGTGGAGCTAGAGACCACTTGGGGCTCAGGCGGGCTCCTGCTTTTCGCGGAGCTTCTGCTTGGCCGAGTCTCGCCGTGGCCGGAGAAGTGCTTTCGTTCCCCTTCTGCGTGGCCTTGCACGATGACCGTGTGCGGAGGGCGTGCGCTTTGATCCGGGGCCAGTGACTGGCCTGGCCAGGATCGGTGCGGCTGCGCAGTTGTCGCCCTCCTGGGTTTGGTTCCCCGGGCCACCGCAGGAGGCGGCCAGGTCGCGGACATGCCAGCCTTCGCTCCGGGCGACAGGGTGGAGTACAACAGCGCTAGCCTCGGCTGGATCCCCGCCAGAGTGCTGCAGGCGAGCGCAGCAGGTGAAGTAGAGGGAGGAAAGCCGGTGACCATGACCATGATGTCGCTTGATCTTGCCGACGCCGATCTTGGTCATGGTCCGTTTTGGCCGTCGCCGATTCGCAATGATGATCCACGACTTTGACGATGACCAGGACGGACGGTGACCAAGATCGACACCGATGTTCCAGGTTCAGTTTTTGGTTATGCTCCTCGTTTTATTTCCTCCCGGGGAGGAGGAGGAGAGAGGAAAGTGGAGCACGATGAGGAGGAGAAGGGAGCAAGGCGAGGAGGGAGAGGGAGAGAGGGCAGTCCTTACGAACAGACGGGGAGCTTGAGGCAGTGTCTGCGCTGTGGACGCGAGTCTGTTGCCCGTGCTCGTGCGTTGCCACAGGGCCGCTGCTGCCATTTGCCCCCATGCCTCGTATCATCGGCTCCGATTGGACCTTTCCGCGATATGCACTTGCAGTCTTTGCGGTTGACATCGACTGTCATGGCAGTCATGGCGGACCACGGCGTGACATGCGCGCAGATTGACTTTCATTCGGGGGTAGTCCTGCGGACGCCGTTTCGCGCATTCTCGCTCCTTGTGTATCGGGGGCGGAAAAGAGGGGGGTGATGACTAGGGGGGGTGGATATCATGGCGCGGGCCATGATATCTCCCCAGATTTAGTGGCGCCTCTTCTTGTTTTATTACATCCCTGGCCCCCCCGCTGGGCCGCGCACATGCCGCCGGTCATGATTTACACCCCCCCCTCTTGGACACCCCCCTCTTGGCCGCTCCCGAGTGTACTTTTTGTGCGTCCTGGAACTAATTAGGCACATAGGACAAGTTCGAAGTTCACGCAGGTCAGCAGTGGCAGCAGTTTCCGCGGCTCACAGAAAGCACTGCGAAGTTGCCTCGGAGTTCGTCTTCGTATATGTCGATCTAGTTGCCTGATCTTCGTCTTTCGCAGCGCTGCAGCGAACATGCTATGGAAGTGCAACTAGCCAGTATGTGCTTCAAAACGACTGCTGCGTCTTGTGTCGCTATGAGTTCTCTCAGCGAGCACAGTTTTTCTTACTTTGCGTGCAGTTCGCTGTCAGGCATTCCGGCGATCCTCATGCGTTTCTGGTCGCCTTTTCGAGGTGTGCCTCGCGTTCAATTTGCGCAGTGTGCAGTGATTCCGCACGAGCTGGGAGCAGCACGTGTCAAAGAGAATCTGGCTGTCGCGTGATTTTGGATGCATTTTGGCGAGGTCAATGTTGATGGCACGTACAACCTCGATTGCAAGCCGTGGGTGAGACTGGAACGGCTGCGCGCACTGGCAGGTGCGCTCGGGAAGGGAGATGCAACCAGTGGGCAAGCACTGGCCAGGGGCTCACCATCAATGAAGCTGCCGCACTGCCCCGACCAGTCTTGCACGGCTGCAGAGGGTGGCAAGGGGAGCGCTCTCTCTGCAGTCTGGCGTGGCTCACGCTTGGCAACTATCTCCCTCGTTCCTTACAGTGGCAGGGGCAGCAAGGGGGAGACGTGGAACTTATGATCCTTGTTGCCAGTCTTGGCTGCCAAATTGCGGATCCGATGCCTAGTCTGCAAGTACGGCGGGATGCCCTAGAGTAATCAGTGCACAGTTCGAGGACTCTTGGTTTTGTAGAGTATGTTGGGATGCGCGGTTCGTTGCAGGACAGGGGCTCATGCACGTGCTCCACACTGCGTGTCCAGTTAGGTGGTCTTTCAAATTTGATCATTTAATCGCTTCGCTCATTCCGCCGGCCCGTCTTGGTGCACGGCTGTCGAGTGCCCGTGTGATCGTTGTCAATGGGGTGCTGCTGGGTCGTTTTTTTGTTTATGGATGGCTGGCTTTGGGTGATTTCGCAGGCGGGAGCCATTCTTTGCCCGCCTGAACCTTCTGTTTCGGAAGGTGGCGGCTCGTGAATACGATCGCAGGGAACAAGACAACATTCTGCAGTTTCCTTTTTGCATTCTTCGGGCCCCTTGTCGCTTGTTGGGGCCTCTTAGGAGCTTCTTGGGGCGTCTAGGAGGCCTCTTGGAGCGGAAGGCTCGGATTTTCGGTTCGTGGTCTCCATCTTGGGCCTCTCTTGGGGCCCTCGTGGGGTCCTTTTGGACCGTCTTGGGCGCCTCTTGGGCTGTCGTGGGGCTCTCTTGGACGGTCGTGGGCCTCTCTTGGAGGCCTCTTGGGCCGTCTTGGGGTGGTCTTGGAAGCTTCTTGGGCCGTCTTGGAGCGTCGGAAACGCGAGAAGGCGAGGAAGCCAAAAACCTTGACAAACCCAATGGAAATCAATAGTTTTGGCGCTCTGAGGCTTCGTGGACGTTCATCGGGATCTCGTTGGATGCCTCTCGAGGGCTTCTTGGAGACTCTCGGGAGTCGTTGTCGAGCCTCTTGGGGTCTCTTGCGGGCCCCTTGTCGCCTTTTGGGGCCTCTTGGGGGCCTCTTGGAGCCTCCAGGAGGCCTCTTGGAGCGGAAGGCTCGGATTCTCGGTTCGTGGTCTCCATCTTGGGCCTCTCTTGGGGCCCTCTTGGGGTCCTTTTGGACCGTCTTGGGCGCCTCTTGGGCTGTCGTGGGGCCCCCTTGGGCTGTCTTGGGGCTCTCTTGGAGGCCTCTTGGGCCGTCTTGGGGTGGTCTTGGAAGCTTCTTGGGCCGTCTTGGAGCGTCGGAAACGCGAAAAGGCGAGGAAGCCAAAAACCTTGAGAAACCCAATGGAAATCAATAGTTTTGGCGCTCTGAGGCTTCGTGGACGTTCATCGGGATCTCGTTGGATGCCTCTCGAGGGCTTCTTGGAGACTCTCGGGAGTCGTTGTCGAGCCTCTTGGGGTCTCTTGCGGGCCCCTTGTCGCCTTTTGGGGCCTCTTGGGGGCCTCTTGGAGCCTCCAGGAGGCCTCTTGGAGCGGAAGGCTCAGATTCTCGGTTCGTGGTCTCCATCTTGGGCCTCTCTTGGGGCCCTCTTGGGGTCCTTTTGGACCGTCTTGGGCGCCTCTTGGGCTGTCGTGGGGCCCCCTTGGGCTGTCTTGGGGCTCTCTTGGAGGCCTCTTGGGCCGTCTTGGGGTGGTCTTGGAGGCTTCTTGGGCCGTCTTGGAGCGTCGGAACCGCGAGAAGGCGAGGAAGCCAAAAACCTTGACAAACCCAATGGAAATCAATGATTTTGGCCTCTTGGGGCTCTCTTGGAAAGGGTCGGGGCTCTCTTTGGACGTCTTGGAAGCTTCTTGGGCCGTCTTGAGGCCGTGTTGGGCGTCTTGGGCCGATCGTTCGGTGATTCGGAACCCTCTTGGACCGACTTGGAAGCCTGTTGGGGCCCTCTTGGCGCGCTCCGGGGAGCGTGGAAGGCCGCACCCAGGAGGAAAACCATCTCTGACCTGAGTTTGCCGGGAGTGTCCCGGGACCTTGCCGGGGTATTTTCCGGCCGGGGACCCCCAGGGGCCGCTCCGCGCGCGCGAATTATAGAGTTATTGTTAACCAGTTACCGGAGATCTTAGCACGCCTCTGGCCCGTTGGGCCGGCGAATTTGCAATTGTGCCTTCCGTCCGGATCAGGGTTCGGTCAATCGATTGCTCGAGGGACGCTGCGGTGTCACACCGTGATGCTGGTTCTGGTGCGCATTGAATCTGCCCCACTACACTGCGGGGCGTCGCGTGCAACGCGAGCGCAGACAAGCCACGCAACGCGCGGCATGGCACGGTAGACGACATGCGACGCGTTACTTTGCATGGCGATGCAAGGCAATGGATGTCAGAGCTGGGCGGGGAAAGGTGAGGGTCTGCCAAGCCGGGAGCTACAAGAGACAGCGATACAAAGGCAGTGACCAAGGCAAGACAGGGTGCACGCGCGCGAGCAGTTCCAGAGCACGGACTTTACTGCAAGCAAGCCAACCCAATGCGAGCCAGGGCGATCTCATGCAACGCAGCGCAGGATGCGGCAAGCGAACGCAAGCAGGGCAAATCTGCCAACCCTAGCATCGAGTAGCAGGCGGGGGCAGATCACGGCCAGCCATGACACATCATTGCAAGTTGAGAGCCTAGGCAAGACATTGTATGTTACGCCAGTGTAGCGAGCACTCGGGAAGGCAGGGAAAAGCCCAGCATGATGTTTCTGGACATGGCCGTTAGTGGGTTCCCAGTACACTGCAAAGCAAAACTAACACAGCACGCACGCTTGAGGAGCCGCGGCGACCGAGGCAAGGGGAGGGGGTGATCCACGGCGGCAGCCAGGGGGAGACGGCAAGGGTCCAGAAGAAAGCAGGGGAGGGGGCGACGCGTTTCATCGCAGTGCTTGTTCATGGGATGCGTTGTCCAGCGAAGCTAGCCGAGGCTAGAATCATCCTGGTGTATCGCGCGACCGTCTGCAGTTTGAGCGATTTCTGGCATGGAAGGTCGCAGCGACGAGCGGGAATGCCAGCCATCTCCGCGCGTCTGCTGATGGCTTCCTTGTCCGAAAGGCGCTGCTTGGAGTGAAACATATGCAAGGCCCATGCGCAGTAGAGTAACGAAGGGTCCCCCCAGCCAGTGCAGCGCCGAAGCGCAGATCCTGAGCACCCCAAGCGGACGCATGCTGCAGCTAGGCACGTCTTAAGCAAGCCAAGGAAGCAAAGCGAACCCGTTGGACGCATGCAATTGATCACATTCTGTGCCAAATTGGCGTAGAGTTCCTCCGTTCTCACGCTGACATTTCGTGCCGCTTCTTGCGAGGCCAACATGCGAGGTGTCATCTTGCAGAGGCCATACCCAGCCTGTCGTCTTCAGCAGTGGCGGGGAGTGGGATGATGCAATCTAGAGCTGTTTCACTTGAGCTCTTTCTGTCCGGCACGGGCATGGTAATTCGGGTCCACACGCTGGCCGCGCTGCAGACTTCGTTCTCTTGCAGTGCATTCTTGCGGAGTGTGTGGGTTCGACTGCGCTTGCGCCACTGCTTGGTGCAGCGCAGCTGGTAGCATTTGTGACCTAGCACGCGCTCTCTCTCTCTCTCTCTCCCTCTGTCTCTCTCTCTCTCTCTCTCTCTCTTTGTCCCACCACCATCACCACCACCTTTACCATTAGTGGGCCAGCGAGCCTAGACTTACCACTCCCAAAACGTACTGCATCACCATCACCATCACCATCGGACCATCACCATCCTCGTTACCGTCACCGTCACCGTCACCGTCACCATCATCATCACCATCACCATCACTATCAACATCACCATGACCATCGCCACCATCATCACCATCACCATCACCCTCACCATCACGATCACCATCACCATCACCTTCACCATCACCTTCACCATCATCACCCTCACCATCACGATCACCATCACCATCACCATCATCATCACCATCACCATCACCATCATCATTACCATCACCACCACCACCATCACCATCACCATCACCATGACCGTCGCTAACACTATCACCATCAGCATCATCATTACCGTCGCCATCATCATCATCATCATTACCATCATCATCATCATCATCATCATCACCATCACCACTACAATCACCATTACCATCTTCATCACCATCACCATCACAATCACCATCACCAACACCATCGCCGTCATCGTCACCATCACCATCATCGCCACCGCCACCATCACCATCAACATCGCCATCACCATCACCATCATCATCTCCATCGCCATTATCTTCACCATTACCATGATCATCACCATCACCATAATCACCATCACCATCACCATTACCATCACCATCATTGTCACCGTCACCACCACCATCACCATAATCATCACAATCACCATCACCATCACCACCACCATCATCATCATCATCATCATCATCAACACCTTCACCGTCTCCTTCACCGTCACCATCCCCATCACCATGACCATTGCCATCGTCACCGTCACCGTCATCAACACCATTGACATCACCATCCCCATCACCATCACCGTCACCATCATCACCATCACCACTATCACCATCAGCACCAGCATCACCATCACCATCATAATCACCATCACCATCACCATCAACATCACTATCACCATCACCCTCTCCCTCACCATTACCCTTACCATCACCATCACCATCACCATCACCATCACCATCACCATCACCATCACCATCACCATCACCATCACCATCACCTTTAGCATCACCATCACCATCACCATCACCATCACCATCACCATCACCTTCATCATCACCATCATCATATCCATCACCATCACGTCTCCAACGCCACCACCATCACCAACACCATCACCATCGTCACCATCACCATCACCATCACCAGCACCGTCACTATCACCATCACCAGCACCATCATCATCACCACCATCACCATCACCATCATCATCACGCTCATTATGACCATCGCTATCACCATCACCGTCATCACCACCATCACCAGCACCATCATCATGACCATCAGTCCTTACTACCTATGATTAAATGCCCCTTCATTTTTACTTCGCCGGCCGATAGTAATTTTGTTGCTTCAATTGTTTAAAATAACAAACTTGATGTTCTCCTCGCCAGAACGTCGTCGAGTTGCGAAACATGTAGCAGGAATGGAACGGAATGAACATCGCTTGGGTAACCCTAAGCGGGTGGTCGCGTCCTACCCAACCAAAAAAAAACAATACAAAGTCAATTTTCTTTTGTCAGCATGGATTTCTTGTTGTCGACGCTTCGAAAAGTGTAGCAGGCATGGGACGCGGCGCACAACGCGCGCGGACGCCTGGCCAACCCTACGCGGGACCCCCCGTCCTACCTGTCAACACAGCAACGTCGACGTTCTTCTCCCCAACATGTAGTACTTTCT